AAAGAAATGGTCTCAAAACAAAACAAAATAAAGTAAAAAAAAAAAAAAACAAAAAACAATAAAACTAACTAGCTGACTAACTAACAAATGCACTACCAGGATGCACCATGGGAAGTTTAAGGGTGATCCATTAAACTGGAGGAGTATTATGGACTCATACCTGGAAGTGAGTGTGGGAGGAAACAGAGGACTAGAAGGGGAATGTGTGACACAGTACGTTTTGTGCACTTGTGACAAGCCCACAATGACACACTACTTTGCACACTATGCTAGTGACAGCAAATGTCAAGCAGGGTTTTTAGACTCTGATGGTCCTGAATTGCACTCTGAAGTCTTTGGTTGTTGTGAGTAGCAGGTTATTTTTCTCTCAGCCTCTGAAGTGGGACAGAAGATTGGGAAAGGTGACATCACCCTTTGCAGGAAGAAGCTGGATATTGGGATGTCACGGTCTGTTGCAAGTTAACACTCAAGTGACTGAGTACAATTTTTCTTGTTCACAGGAATCAAAAAGCAACACACAGTCTAGGTACAAAGATGAGTACACATTTTGTCTTCTTCCTGGGGAGACGCTGTGATCCACTATACACAGTAGGTCTATAAAATGGACTATCTTCTGTAGTTTTAATTTTATACTGTTTTTCAAATTGTTATTTCAGTGCAGTCTTTTTCAATCACCTGTTCCTGCCCTGCTCCAGTGTTGGCTTCATTAACTGGTGGTACAATGTTGTCTTAATAGCCCTGTGTCCTCAGCCTCTGGCTCCACACTCTAGATGGGGAGAAGAAAAAGAGGGAACTGTTGGAACATTTTAAAAAATGTATAGTTTTTATTTTATTTTCATTGGATGTATTTGGTTTTTGTATATACGTATGTAGGTACAATAGCATTGAATCTCTTAGAACTGAAGTTATAGATGGTTGACAGCCCCCATGTGCTGATGGAACTCACCCTGGATCCTCTGCAACAGCAACAAGTGCTCTTAGGTGCTGAGCCATCTCTCCAGCCACTATTGGAATGTTTACATAAGGAAACCACACAGCTGATTCACAGCATGCTGGCTGAGCACTGTGAGAGAAACTACATACACAGGAAGAGACAGTGTCAGTGCAGAGCTCAGGAGGGAGGGGTGCTTGGCACTGATGGGGTGAGGCCTAAGGGACAGAGACAGAGAGGGGCTGAGCAGGAGGAGACAGAGGCAAAGAGGGAGATGCTAACTCAGCAGAGTGCCCTGTTTGAGGGTATTTCTGTCAGACTGCACTGGACACATCTACAGAACCATGCTGGCATCTTACATTTCATAGTGAATGCTGTGCTGGTTTGAATGAGAACAGCCTCACAGGCTCATAGGAATGAATGCTTCAGATGTGGCTGATGGAACTCTTGGGAAAGGATTGGGATGTGTGGCCGTGGTTGGAGAAGTGTCACTGGGGCTGGGCATTGAGGTTTAAAAAACTTCCAGGCTTCAGGCACCTGTAGAGGGATGTGAGCAGTTGAATTTGCAGCCATGGCAGTGGCTTGGCTAGCCTTTAATACTGGTGTTAATCTGGACCCTGGGTCATTATAGAGCAGGTGAAACACCGTAGCCAATGCCCAGGAACTGCTGAAGAAGTTGACTGACAAGTGTTTCAGGAAGTGTACCAGGGAGCCTGATGATCCTTGGATAACTTAGAGCAGGAATGTATCACCATGTGCATGGACTGTTGCATGGATGCCTTGAATGTTGTGTCCTATGCTTACAACTCTTGACTGCAGAGGGAACAAGACAACACGTGACTGAGACCTGTGTCTCAGGACACAGTTCTCAGAAGAGAGCAAGGACCAAGGATCTGGTTGTCCCCACTGAGCTGTGACCTCATGAGAGCAGGCCAGTAAACCCCTGCTGGGAGGGTGAGGGAGGAGAGACTCTCACTGTTCCCAGAGCCTCTTCCTCTGGTGTGCAGAAACGGATGTGAGCTCTCACTGTTCCTCCACCACACCTTTCCTCTGCCATCATGAACTCAAACCCTCTGAGACTAGAAAACAGATTAAACACATATTTATAAGTGTTACTGGGATCACAGTGTCTTATCATAGTTGGAGAAATGTCACTAAAGCCAGGTGTGTGGACACAGGTCTTTAATCCTAGCATTCAGGATGCAAAGACAGGTGGAACTCTGTGAGTTCAAGGCCAGCCTGGTGTACATGGTAAGTTCCAAGACAGCCAGAGCTGTGGAGACAGACCTTGTCTAAAAACAGAATAAAATAAGAAGAAAAGTAACAGAGTCAGATCCTTTCTGTGGCCTAGGGCCAGCTGTTTCCTTAGGTTAGTCAGGGTGAAACCTAAGAGCATCAAGTTCCCAGGGAAACAAGAAGAGATCAGGTGGAACTCCACAGAATAATAAAAAAAATGTATGAATTTATTTTTTCCCCACACTTTTGATCTGGGATGAAAACTGACATCACCAATGTGTACTCTGTGGCATGAGAATCATCTTTCTTCCAGTGTCCACACTGTACTCGCCTGAGGAACTCTGGGGCCAACTTGGTTATCAGATCCACTATCCCACACAGCTGTGACACTCATGCCCCTCACCTCATCAGCTGATAAGTGTGAGTGAAGGCCAGAGAGGGAGTGAGAGGGTCACAGATTACATAACTTCTAACACACTGTCATCATTATTTTGTGTTATACTCGGTGACAGTTCCTCTCCTACTGTGACTGAGTCACTAAAACAACTGTACCATGGAAGTGCAGATGCAGGGCAAATGCAGTGTAGACAGAGATCAGTGCCCTGCTGTTTGTTGTCTACACAGGGGTCTCTTCCCAGTGGACAAATGGATCTACTGTGCTGAGACAATGACTCAGATCCACATGGACAAACTCGGGATTCAGAATGAAGATCCTTGTGGAAAAAACATAATGTCCTGGAGCCTCAGATCTTCATCTAGGAAGTAACACAAGGAATCTGTGTCTAAGCACGGGGCTGAGTAGACAGATCCTGAGGGAAGAAGCAAAGTCTCCTCTTTACAGATAAGAGGCCTGTACACAGGCTTGACTGTGTGAGCTGCCTTCTGCTGTTGAACACAGAACCTGGTCTCTATGGGGTCCATGTGGGGCTTGCAGGCCCACTGCTTTAAATTTCTGTAAAAAAAAAGCATCTCTCCACTGCATCTCCAACCGCTTGTGTCACCATTGTATCCCTGGAATTGTCTTTTCTTCTAAAAGTGTCCAGGGTCTGACTTCTGAAGAGAAGGAAGAGGAAGGGTGGAGGAGAGGACACAGAGAGTCTGTCCTGTGGGTCTCTCCTGGTGTCCTGACAGCTTCTGGGTCAGAACTCGGAGCCAGCATGACAAACAGCACTCTGTACACTGCACAAGGTTCAGGCAAAGTCTTAGTCGCCAGGGTTGGGGAACCCTAGGGCTGCGGATTCCCCTCTCCCCAGTTTCACTTCTGCTCCTGCTGTGTCAGGTCCTTCTGCCCTGACACTGATGATGCGCGGGCACAACTCACCATCATTGGGTGGCACGATCCTGGGGAACCAACCAGCATCTCCGCGGGAACTAGTTAAAAAGTCCAAGCAGCCTGCAGGACTCAGATGCCCTGGATCCCAGATGGAGGTGATGGTGCCTCACACGCTGTTCCTGCTGCTGGCGACCAACCTGGCCCCGATCCAGACCCACGCAGGTGACTGGGGGTCTAGTAAGAAAGGGTCTCTGCGGGAAGGGCCAGGGGCAACACCGGGGAAGCCACGTCCCTGCGTCGCCCACCAGACCCTCCATCCCTTCTCCACCCTCATCCCAAGCCCAGGCGCTCTGTTCTCCTCCTGGCCCGCTCACCTGCAGGGGGTCCCGGGAGGAGGTCGGGGTCTCACCGCGCGCTGCCCCCAGGCTCACACACGCAAGTGGGAGCAGGCTGGTGATGCAGAGACATACAGGGCCTACCTGGAGGGCGAGTGCGTGGAGTGGCTCCGCAGATACCTGGAGCTCGGGAAGGAGACGCTGCAGCGCACAGGTGCAGGGGCCGCGAGCAGCTCTCCCTCTGCCCTCGGGCTGGGGCTCAGTCCTGGGGAAGAAGAAACCCTCAGCTGGGGTGATGCCCCTGTCTCAGAGGGGAGAGAGTGTCCCTGGGTCTCCTGATCCTCATCACAGTGACTGCACTGACTCTCCCAGGGTCAGCCTTCTCCCTGGACAGTTCCCAGTCTGTCTCAGGAGGGAAGGAGAGAATTTCCCCCAACTTAACAATGGCGGCTCCCTTCAGTCAGATTGTAGCCTCTGTCAGCCGTGGCCTCTCCCAGGCCTGTTCTCTGCCCACACCCACTCTCTGTGGACACTGACTCCTGTCATGCTGAGTGTGTCAGCCCTTAGACCTCAGGACCGGAAGTCTCCTTTACCTGATGGGAGACATAGACTCCCTACACTAGGCTGGTTCCCACAGTTTCTAGAACTTTCCAAAGAATACATTCTCGCAGATCCCTCCCTGTCTGTGGGGTTTGCATCACTTCAACAACCCACTTCTATCTATTCCTAGAGTGGTGAAGGTCACATGAGCCCTCATTGGGGTGCCCTGATGGAATACTAAGTTGTGGGATTTCTTTTTGCTTTTTTTTTCTCTTTTGTTTTTCCTTTTCATTCTTTCTTACGTTCTTTTTTTCTTTACTTTTTTTTTTGAAGGCATTATTTGTTTCTGGTCACTTTTTGTCTGCACTGGAGTGATCCTGTTTCTCCATGCCCTTGTATTATCATTTGTATCAGTCTCCATAGGTGCCAGAGAGACTGCTAACCTGGATATTTAGACAAGTTAAATCAGGGTTCTCATTAAAGGAGAGGTTCTTGTGAGCTTAGACTGTTTCTTGTCAGAACTAAACATCCAGAAGCCTCCTGCTCTTCCTCTGCCCCCACAAGTTACAGTGCTCCCCCTAGTGAATCAGGAATTGGACTTTCTGAGAGACAAGTCTTCTGCAATCCAGGGCTGGAGTGAGAGGGAAGATCCACACACCCTGTGAGCCCGCTGTGTTCCAGTGAGTGCTGCACTGGGGTCCACAGCACACTCCTGGGATCCTGTGTAACACACCTGTACCTTGTGGTCCAGAGACAGGGGCTGGGAGTCATTTTCTCTGGCTGAATGTCAGAGGTTCACCACATTTCTGCTACACACTTTGTGATGGGTGTTCACTTGGACTGATGGTTATACTGGTAAGGCAGATGACCACAGTGGTTGACTCTCAGAGGCGGAACCCTTCCAGGAGAGTATGGCCCTAATTTCTAATATAGATATGGACTTAAACACATGTTAAATTACTTATTTTCCATTTTATCTGTCATTCTTTGACTACCTGTCTCATGCTGTAGAACATCACATAAGGACGGACGTGTTGACACACTGGCTCGTGTGGATTCCCTCTTAGCTTCTGAGCCCCCAGGGAAAATGTTCAGTTCTGTGCTGAGGGGACCAGCGCCACCTACTGGTCACTGGTGGGATGACAGTTGAAGTGACAGACACATAGTTCAGTGTCATCATTGATTTAACCGTATCTTGTCTAGATTTCAGTTTGTCTTGTTAATTGTGGGATTTCTTAAATCTTCCACACAGATACCCCAAAGGCACATGTGACCCATCACCCCAGATCTGAAGGTGATGTCACCCTGAGGTGCTGGGCCTTGGGCTTCTACCCTGCTGACATCACCCTGACCTGGCAGTTGAATGGGGAGGAGCTGACCCAGGACATGGAGCTTGTGCAGACAAGGCCTTCAGGGGATGGAACCTTCCAGAAGTGGGCATCTGTGGTGGTGCCTCTTGGGAAGGAGCAGGATTACACCTGCCATGTGTACCATGAGGGGCTCTCTCAGCCCCTCACCCGGAGATGGGGTAAGGAGGGTGTGGGTGCAGAGCTGGGGTCAGGGAAAGCTGGAGCCTTCTGCAGACCCTGAGCTGGTCAGGGCTGAGAGCTGGGGTCATGACCTTCACTTTGGTTTCCTGTCCCTGTCCTTCTCAGAGCCTCCTTCATCCACCAATTCAAACATGATAATCATTGCTGTTCTGGGTGTCCTTGGAGCTGTGGCCATCATTGGAGCTGTGGTGGCTTTTGTGATGATGAGAAGGAGAAACAGAGGTAGGAAGGGGCAGGGTCTGAGTTTTCTCTCAGCCTCCTTTAGAAGTGTGCTCTGCACATTAATGGGAAACACATCCACACCCTGCATTGCTACTGTCTGCAGCTGGGTCTGCTGTCAGTTCTGGGAACTTCTAGTGTCAAGATATTCCTTGAACTCTCACAGCATTTCTTCTCACAGGTGGAAAAGGAGGGCACTATGCTCCAGCTCCAGGTTAGTGTGGGGGACAGGATTGTCCTGAGGCCATTGGAGTGAAGCTGGAGATGATGGGAGCTCTGGGAATCCATAATAGTAATTCCAGAGAAATCTTCTGGAGTCTCATTTGTACCTTGATATGAATACATACACATACATATACATTTCTTTTGTTTTACCCTAGGCAAGGACAGCTCCCAGAGCTCCGATATGTCTCTCCCAGATTGTAAAGGTGACACTCTGGGGCCTGACTGGGGAAAGGCAATGTGGAGATGATTGCGTTTTAGGGACTCCCAGAATCCCCTGTGAGTGGTGGGTTGTTGGAATGTTGTCTTCATAGTGATGGTTCATGACTCTTGTTCTCTAGCATGAAGACAGCAGCCTGGAGTGGACTGAGAGACAGACAGTGTGTTCAGGTCTCTCCTGTGACGTCGAGAGCCCTCAATTTTCTTTAGACAACAATATCTGATGTTCCCTGTGATCCTATGGGCTCAATGTGAAAAACTGTGGCACCCAGCCTGCCCTGCACACTAGCACCCTGTCCCTGCACTGCCTGTGTTCCCTTCCACAGCCAACCTTCTTGGTCCAGCCAAACACTGGGGGACATCTGCTTCCTGTCAGCTCCATGTTGCCCTGAGCTGCAGCTCCTCACTTCCACACTGAGAATAGGAATTTGAATGTGAACTTGATTGTTAACATCCTGACCTGAGTGTTGATGGCTTGTTAAATTGATGGCTTGAAAATACTTAGAGGTTTGTTTTGTTTTGTTTTTAAGAAATAAATGGCAGATGGAGAACCTTCTAGAATCTGTGTCACTATGCTGTGTGTATCTCTTGGGATAGGATGAGGCTGTGCACAGGTGTGCTCAGTCCATTGTGATCTTTGGTGGGGTCACTCCTGGCCGTGTCACCACATGACTCTGTTCTCTCCATCACTGTGAAGCACAGGCTGAGAGTCTGTGATCACAGGGACATAGGGATGAGAGATGAACAAACAGATCACATCCTATACCTGAGACCCTGAGCCTGGTCCTGTTCCAAGGATTCTGTGTCTCCAGAGATAAAGATCAGAGACCCCACTGGGGATCCTTCAATGTGCCGGGTGCACAAGAGAAATCACTGCATTTCCACCCATCCATTTGTTTTAGCTACTAATGATGCAGTCTTGAAGCTGCCCTGAGCTCTCTCTGTAGCCATGCTACTGTTGTCGTTTCTGCTTCTTTACTGTGTCTTTTACAGGGTTCTCAGGTATAGGATGTGTTTTTCTGTTGAACTCTCAGGAGCAAATCCACAGCTGAGATTGTTGGCTTAGATTTTTCAAAACCTGTTTTTAATAGGGCTTCTTAGATGTTTAACCTCTCTTCTAGTCCACCACCCACAGGAAATAGTGGAAAAGAAAGGTTATTAGGATGGGGGGAAGCAGACCTGTTTAGAAATGGTTCTTTGGATCAAATCCAGTTTGTGTTGTCAGGACATCAGCAGTTCAGTTCCCAAGATTCAGCAACAGGAGCTCGATTCAGAAGAAGCCAGGAGTCTCAGCTGTTTCCTGTTTAGAAGTAGTTCCATGGGCCGATTTCAATCTCCAATAGACAGGATACCAGCAGTCCAGGTCAGTGGTGTCTGGATAGCACACAGGAATCATCAGCTGGGGCACAGCCCAGCAGAAACAGCCAGGCCTCCACCAAATCAGCATGAGTCAGCAAGGGTGACCAGGAGCAGCAGGGACACCAGGAGAATTTCTCTGCCGAGACTCTGTCAACAAAGCGAAGATCAGTGAAGACGAAGACATGAGACCAATGTAGCATTGCAAAGCCAGCTATGCAAGCCCACCATAACTGTCCACTGTGTCCTGTTATAATCCCTCCAAACACCACGCGTTCTCACATGAGTCTTGCTGCAGCAAAACACAAGTCTGTCTTAGCAAAACTCGACTTGAGTCTGTATCAGCTGACATATCCAGAAACTTGCACTTCACTCTGCCAATCAGCCCAAGTCTGCAGAAGCAGGAAGAAGCCACCAGAACATCACAAGAAGGATTTTGGTGCATTTCTCTCTATGGAGTAACAAGAAACAATGACCAATAAACAATGGTAAGGCTTACCAATACCATGCAGCCTCCTCTACTGTCTGCTGGGTTTTATTTATAGCCCTTCTAAACATCATGTGTCCTTGTACGTGTCTGCTTTAGCAAAACAGTTTTTTTTTCACCTGTGTCTGCTTATAAAACATCATTTGACATAACTGACTTTCCAAAGGAACCAGAGATTTCCACTTCCAGAACAGGGATGCTTCTCTCTCTGTAACTTGGGTACCGCCCCCTGAACCCTTTATACTCCTGGACTATCTTATCCTTTAGCAGCTTGTGTTGTGGAGTTAACTCCCTGAAGTCTCTTCATCTCTGTTCCCAGCTCAGTGAACCTGTGGCTTGCAGCCCTGACTTGGGCATGAAGGATGCTGTATTCAGCATAGTCTGTCTTAAAGTCCTGTTCATAAGCCTGTTGTGGCTCTGCATTTTGGATGGCTCTTCATTGCAGGAGACCAAAGTCCTGCTCATAGGCTTGTAACCATTTAAATAACCTAATATTTATAGCACTAAAGACAACGGAGGCATAAACTGAGGTAAAAACCTGCCAGTTCAGCGAGGAAACTTTATTTTCTTAACTATATAGGAGATAGCTATTACAAGCCTGTTTCTACAACTAAACTGCCATCTCTTCAGAAATCTCTCTGTGTGTCAATCTACCAAGCTAGTCTGCCTTTCTGTTGAGTTCCTCCAAACCCAAGAGGGCTCCTTAGCTCTCTTTCCTAGATTTCTGTTTTACCTGTGTCCTGCCAGGTGCTTCTGGTGTTCCTGCAAGCCCAAAAAGGAAATCCCCATCACTTACTCGGAGCTCCTGCCATAGAAGATCTTCCAAGCAGAGAAAGCCGTGTCACTGGAATATGATTTTTCTGCTCAGGGATTGCTAGCTTTTTTTCACCACCTTTTCCCTGGCATTGGGCCCATGGGTCAGAGTGGGAAGTCCTTCTCAGATGCAGCTGGCTTTTGCTGAGATGTCATTTCTGTGGGACTGCAGGGGACGGGAGATGATTGGAGAGGTTTTGCTACCATGGACAGCTCCTGTGATGCCAGCAGGCTGAGGAGATGTAGTGGAGCCGCCATTTTAACAGGAGCCCCCATTTTGGACAGCTCCTGTGGGACTATTACTGAGGTGGCCCATAGGTGGATCAGGAAGAAAGGGCCTGCCACCACTTTGAAGAATTTAGTTTTAGGGACTACAATAAGCCAGGACAAGCCCTTTCTCCCTAAGCTGTGTCTTGTCAGATATTAAGCCACAGTGATGGAAAATGGAACTGTATTGGATACTTTTCTGTTGCTGTGACAAGACATCATGTCCAAGGAAACTTACAGAAGGTTTATCTGGGGATTAGGGACCCTAAGGGTTAAGAGTCCATCAACATCATGACAGCAAACACCAGGCATGGCAGCAGGAACAGCTGAGAGCTCACACCTCCAACCATGCCCCCCAGTGACATACTTCCTCCAGCAAGGCCACACCTCCTAAGCTTCCCAAACAGCAGCAACTGGGAACTAAGTATTCAAATGACCAAGAATATGGGGTCATCTTATTCAAAGGACCACAGTAACTAACACAGACAGTGACACCAAGCTCCCAGTGCAAATATGGGATTTTCTAGGTGTAGTGCCAGGGAAATGTTAGCATTCCCCCAAAACCAGACAGGAGTAGACCTGACATAATCACAGTAGGGACTTTTTATTAGAGCTAGCTCAGGGCAGCACACTGCCTCATGCAGGATGGTTTCAGTGATGAGGAGCCCCGAATATCTACGGGGCAAGGCTTCATAGTAAACAGCAAGTGGGGGGGGTGAGTGTGCAAGCATCTAATTGGAAAGTTTCTATGGCCTCAACATAATTGGCTGGTGCTGAGAATCATACCATAAACCTAAATTTCTGCTTCCCTCTGCACTGGTGGTCATTAGACAGGGGATGGGCTTGTAACTTGGGAGTGCAGGTTTGTTGGGGGTGTAACCTGGAGACACAGGTCCTGTTGGGGATTAGTCTAGAGACTTAGCTGGGCTCTGGTTTTGTTGGGAGGTACCTTGGAAAGTAATTCTAGCTGCTGGCCTGTTAGTTTGCCTGAGTTCAGGTTCTCTAAAATGGAGTCTGAATTTAAAAGATTTGGCCTCTCACAGGTGGGAGAGGCTGACACTGCCACAGGTGGGACCTGGGCAAGAAGGCTTGGTTCTCCAGAGTCACCTAAGGCAATGCTGGTACCTATCTATCAGGAAACCCCTTTTCTAATGTCATGGTGGGCAGTTCTTGTATGTACCAAGTCCAGGAATGAAGGAACTTTTGAAAGGTAATGTTTGAACCCAATGGTCTCCGAGGGACCATGGAGATGACTCAGAGTGTACAGGTTCTTGCCACCAAGCTTGGCTCCCTGAGTTTCATGGAAGTCACATGGTGAATGGAGAGACCTGACTCCTATAAGTTATCCTCTGAGCTTCACGTGGGCATCATGACATGCACATCCCTACACATAATTATTAAATCAGTGCAATAAAAATGAAAAAAGGAACCATGACGGTTTCATGTTGAAGATTTAAACACATATGTATAAGGACGTGTAAGTATACGTTGTGTTCAGTTTGCCTCCAGACTTTCCAGTGGTTGAATTTTCCTGTGTCCAAAATGACATTGTCATGAGAAGCTGCCAGGAGGATTGAAGGACAACCCAAGCAAGGGTAATCACAGGAATGTTAAACTATTTTACATGCTGTGTATTTATACTACTGCTTTATGTGTATGGTGTGCAAATGAGGGCACTCCCCAGCTGTGGTGTGTGTGTTGGGGGAGAGGGAGTCAGAAGACAACCTTGGGGACAGTTCTCTTTCCATGTGGGTTCTGGGGGACTGAACTCAGGTGGTCAGACTTAGTGGCAAGCATCTCTACCTGAGTCACCTCATCATGTTGGCCTGAGTGCCACCACCCTGTTTTTGGAGGTGTTGAGAAATCGAACCCCAGGGCCTGTGGCATACAAGGTGGGCATTCTAGTCACTGAGTCACATTCCCAATGTTTGAAAACCAGTCAGCAGACAAGGGCTTCCTGTTATTTCAAAGGACTGTATTAAAGCTCTGGGATAAAGATGGAATTAGAGACTATATGTTAAAAACAGTCATGGGTGGCATTCAAGAAACACACTGACAATGCACCCCACTAATCCGAGGACCTAATCTAGGAGAACCAGGCCTGAAGTGAGTATTTCTGGTTTCTTTGGAGACTCAATTGTGTTGTGTGATGTTTTTCTGAAAACTGTCTTATGGGAGGATGTTTTTGCTGAAGCAGACAGGTAATATTTTCCTGGAAGTTGCCTGGAAAAGGAACATGTGATGTTTTGATAGATCTTGAGAGATCTCCTTTTAAGAGAACACGTGGTGAGGGCCAGGCAGTGGTGGCGCATGCCTATATTCCCAGCACTTGGGAGGTAAAGGCAGGAGGATTTCTGAGTTCGAGGCCACCCGGGTCTACAGAGTGAGTTCCAGGAACAGCCAGGGCTACACAGAGAAACCCTGTCTTGAAAAAAAAAAGAGAGAGAGAGAGAGAGAGAGAGAGAGAGAGAGAGAGAGAGAGAGAGCACATGGTGTTTGGAAAGGGTATAAATATAACCCAACAGACCACAGATGACGCTGTGTGGCATTGGTTGGCATTGCCATTCTTCGCTGGTCTTCACTGACAATGTTGTGGGATTGGTTAGCCTTGCCTTCTTTGCTGGTCGTTTGTCATGACTTTGTAGAGAGAAATGAACCAAAGAACTTCTGGTGGTGTTCCAGCAGCTTCTTCCTGCTTCTGCAGACTCAGGCCAATTGGTAGAGCCTCTAAACTTCTTCTGAATTAAACTGCTACTGCTGACTGGTGTGAACTCAACTGCTGTAATCCGGACAACAAAGACTGGATTCACTCCAGAGAACTATTTCTAAACAGGTCCACATCCTCCTTGGCCCTAATAACCTTTCCTTTCTACTACCTCTGGTGGGTGGTGAGCTAGAAGAGAGGTTAAAACATTCATGTAAGCTTACTAAAGTAGGTTTTGGAAAATATAAACATATACAGGGCATCTGAAAAATTCCATGTGTGGGTTATGTTACCAATGCTGCATTGATGCTGGAGGACATCAGACGCTTGGGTAGACTGAGCACTGTGGGGATAGATTGGGACGCTCCTTCTCTTGGACTCTGTGATCCTGAGGAACCCAGGGCTTCAACTATTCAAACCTTCTCCACAGGCTAGTTAGGTGTCTCAGGCCTGAGTGAGGCCCTGTGGCTGCAGAGAAAAGAATCACAGAGAGCTAAGGCATAAAAATAAAGATGGTGTCACTTCCAAGTAAAATTATGGAGCTGGAGAGATTGTTCAGAGGTGAAGAATGCTTATTGCTGTTCCTGAGGAACTGGGTTCAGTTCCCAGCTCTCACCCACTTGTAACTCCAGTCTCAGAGAGGATAGGGCGCCCTCTTCTGAATGCATGGGGGACTCCATGCATGTGGTGCACAGACATACATGGAGGCAAAACACCCATGTACACAAAAATATTTTTTTAAAAGAACAAAAAATGCCAAGCAGTGGTGGCACACGCCTTTAATCCCAGCACTTGGAAGGCAGAGGCAGGCGGATTTCTGAGTTTGAGGCCAGCCTGGTCTACAGAGTGAGTTCCAGAACAACCAGGGTTACACAGAGAAACCCTGTCTCAAAAAACAAAAAACAAAAAACAAAAAACAAAAAAAACAAAAACAAAAAAAACCCTCAGAAAACAAAAAATAAATAGAGAGAAATAAGATTTCTGTAAAGAAAGAGATCCCCCAGCAGTATTGGGGGTCACTACAGCATGTAGGAACACCTCCAAACCCTAGTGCAGGACTCTAGGGTCCCCTGCACTAAATGTACACACTGGTCTTAGAGATTCAGCAAGGGAAGGGAGAAATTGACACAACACCCCCTACAGTGGTTCCTGGTGCTACTGGTCATGAAACCTGTGCATTCGTTCATTTATGCTGTTTGTGTTGTAGTCTTCTTGTAGTTCAGGTTGACCTTGAATTATATATATATATATCTTTACTTATTATGTAGTGTTCTGCCTGCATATGTGCCTTTCCACCAGAAGAGGGCGCCAGATATCACTACAGAAGGTTTTGAGCGACCGCGTGATTTCTGAGAATTCAACTCAGGACCTGTGGAAGAGCAGTTAATGCTCTCAATCTCTGAGTCATCTTTTCAGTCCCGATCTTGAATTTGTGATCCTCCTGCCTCACCTCAGCTTGCCAAGTCTCGGTCGGGATCACACGTAGGGAGTGTGTGCGTGTGTCTGTCTGTCTGTGTGTTTGTGTGTGTCTATATCATCAAGTGTGGTGTTTAGTAACAATCTGGGGGAGGAGCCCGAGGTATAATCTCACTCAGAAGTTGTGTTTCAGACCGAAGATCATAAGGACCCGTGAAAACATCAAAACAGAAGGTTTGGGGCTGAAGGGAAAATCCCTGACTGCTTCGGTATGAAGAGGGCGTAGGCGATGACAACTCCCTGCCTTCCTGAGCATTCAAAGCTCACTCATCCCTGCTTAAGAGACTGGGAACTGGACCGGCTCCTACTCCCGTGTCCTGCTGCCCCCTGGTGGCTTTGAGCGGCATCGCAGCTCCCAAGGGTCCTGGGGACGGACTTTGTCAAATGTCTCTGCAGACTGCAGACTGCAGAGTCCAGGAACTAACTGATGGCTGGCTTCATGAGCTCACGATGCTGTCCGGCTCACACTGAAGAAGGGCCACACTAAGGAACCAGGTATCCCCTGCACAGCCCCCACATCAGAGCATTAGTTTCTTTTTCTTTCTAGTTGCTGTTGCTCGGGATTTATCCCAGAGCTTCCTGCCTGTAGACCGTGTCTTCACTACACACTAGCTGAGTTTGATGTGATCCATCCAAAGAAAGGGTCCCCGGGTTTCTTTGGGGATACCTTTAATCCCAGCCCTCAGGAGGGCGGATCTCTGCATTCTTCGCAACATAGCAAGATCCAGAGCACACAGGACCAAAGACTGTGATCCCCAGGACTGACACCTAGAAGGGGGTGGTGGAGTAGGTGGAAAACTTGTAACAAGTGAGAAAGGAACATGGATCCCCAGGGCCGGGTCTGGGTGAGCTTAGCCCCCAGCCTAGTACAGCCAAGTTCCTGGGAAGTGAATGGGGTAAAGGAAATGACCTCAAATTACTTTATTTTCCTCGACAGCATCTTTCATCTGAAATTTCCCCTCACGTTGTAGATGGGACCTAGGGACAGCTTCCTGTCACTGAGCTGTATCCCAGCCCTTTACTTTTAAGCCGTGGTCCAGGCTGGCCTTGAACTTATTCTGTAACTGAAGCAGCCTTTCCATCCATTGCCTCAGGCTCCCAATTAGCCAGGATTAGAGGTCTACAAACCAGCCTAGCTTTTGTTTAAACCCTGGTCAAGGTTATCAGGCTATGATGACACACACCTTCAGTCCCAACACTTGCGAGGCAGAGGCAGGAACTCTAAGCCTGAGACTAGCCTAGTCTACAGAAAGAGTTCCAGGACAGCCAGAGCTACACGGAGAAACCCTGTCTCAAAAACCAAACAATGTACCAAGGATGTTCCTTCACTCTAGACCCTGTAGGTCATGACGTCTTTGGAGGACAAAGAACCCTTTCTCAGGGGTTGCTTAAGATCATCAGAAAACACAGATATTTATATTACTACTCTAAACAGGAGAAAAATTATAGTACAAAGTAACAATTAAACTAACTTTATGGTTGGGGTCACCACCAGGAACTGTATTAAAGGGTCACAGTATTAGAAAGGTTGAGAACCACTGCTCTGGAGTCTGCAAAAACCTACAGAGGTGGGGCAGCGGGCAGCGGGCAGCAGGAAGGGTCTAGGTCATATGTAAATGACAAGATCTGTTTTGGAGCCAGGTCCAACCCTGCCTCAATGCATGGGTGCGGGTGTTACAGGCCCTCTACCCTCAAGAGAGGTGTGACAGCCACTTAGGGGCTGACACAGACAATCTCAGAGTCTGTGTGGATTTTTCCCATGGTAGCCCTCAGGACAGTGCACAAAGCTATCATGTTCCCAGACCTTGTGGCATGTGGCATCCTCCTGGAGAGCTACAAACAGTCCCCTCCTGAGCAACTATGCCATCCCTGGGCAAGAAGCAGCAATAGACCTCGGGCTACTACCCCACCCTCTTCCTGATGCCCACCAGGAACTGACTGGGTCTACAATAAAGAAATGCTGGAGAATTAAAGGCCCAGAGACAGAGGAGAGGACACAGTCCCAGCACAGGAAGTTCTTATTATTGCCACAGAGTGAGCCCCGCCAGGAGGTGATGTCACTGTTCCAGCGGAGCCCGCAGATCAGCTACAGGGTGGGCTGTACCGCTCTGCCCTAAGAGCTGAGGTCAGTCAGAGACTGGGGCGGTGGGAGCTCACAGGCTGTGAATGAACAGCAGGGGAGCTGACTGGGAAATGAAGGTCACCTCAGAAGCCCAGGGAGTGGCCTTGGGCACACTCTGGTGAGGCAGAGGCCTGGCAATGAAAGCTGAGTGAGAGAGTGAGGTGTATGGAAGCCTTGGAATGGGAAAGGGGTCCCAGGTGACAGTGTGTGACCTACACAGTCCATGGTAGCTTAGGGCCCGGTGGATCTGAGTCAGAAGTTCAGCTTGTGTTTCTTCAGCTCCACCATGAGGTGATGGATGTTGATGAGCTCGGCCCTGGCAGGGAGAGCGTGGAGCTGGGGCTGGGACAGCACCCGGTGGAAGCGGTGGTACAGCTGGATCAGCTGGGTCAGCGCCCCCTGTACAGAGGGGACTCAGGGTCAGACTCGTGGTGACTGGACCTGTGAGAGCTTCACCAGAGTCTCAGCACAGTGCTTGTCGGCCTTCAGGACATTCATGTGATGCAGAGCCCAGAGGAAAGAGCAAGGAAACAACCATGGGACACAGGCAAAGGGCTGGGAGTGGCCGGTCACCTGGATGATGCTGGTTCCATTTCGAAAGTTGGTAAAACTCCGCATTACATCCTGACTCAGGGACTCCACTGAAGCCTTCCAGGAACTACCAAAGCCACGGATCAGCTGAGTCACTCGGGCTGAAAGCAGAGGAAAGGGCGTGTCAGAAAGCAACCAGACCTGGTGACCTTCCACTGTCCACCCGGCAGAGAGCAACCAGGGCTGGTGCCCAGCAAGGCCTGCCCAGGGCACAGCCATGCTTACCATCAAGCCTGACTTTCCTGGTGTTCTTCCAACTGAGTCTTCCCTGCTGCGCTGCCTCCTGACACTGAACCCCACACACTGTCCCTAACTCCTGCTGTCCCTAACTCGCCATGACAATCAAGGCTTCAGCCTCCTTCACAAACGCCACCAGACCCCGGAACGGGGGAGACAGCAACTCTTCAATGAACTCCTGGAGAGAAGTGCAAGCTCACACAGGGTCAGACTCTGGGGAACAAAGGACCCCTACTCTGGACAGTGACGACTAATGACATGCCAGACAGCAACCTCTGTGAGCCTTCCACCTTAGGTGGTGATGTCACAAGGTGCAGGGGACATCCCCAAGGATTTCATTCCAGAACCAGGAACTAATAAGCTGGCTCTTCAGGAACAGTGCTTGCCACTGGTCCCCAGAACAGACAGTGGAAGAAGGAAGAAGGGAGCCCACTCCTAGAAGTTGTGACCTCTGACCTCCACATACTTCAGATGTGCCTGTGCCAGCCTGCAGGCACACACATACACACAAGGCTATAGTGCATGCACACACATACACAAACAGTTCCCTGCAAAACGTGAACACAGGACTATAGTGAACACATATGCACACACACACACAAACATATACAAACAATTCCCTGCAAAACATGCACACAGGACTACAGTGCACACATACGTACACACACACACACATATACATGCTAGCTATAGTGCACACACAGGCATACATACATAGCTATAATGCATGTACTTACAAAAATAGCTATAGTGTTACTTTGTTTCTAAGCTATTAGTACCATGAAAAAGTTAAAATGAAACAGACTAGCAATGAGGCAGTGGGTTGTAATCATGACTGCACATGGAGGTCAGTCCAATACCACACCCAGGCCCTACCTGTGTCCGAGCATTGAGCAGCTGCTGGAAACTCTCCACGTCTTTGCTGTCGTCAGCAGCCCGCTCCTGAGGAAGACAAGAGGAGTCAGGAGCTTAGAAACCCCTTTCCTGTCACCAGCACTTCCCCTTCATTCCACACTGCAGACACTGCCAGGATCCAGGGGTAAAGCCCTGAGCTCCTGTGGAGCTTACAAGCTGTAGGGACTCCCCGGGGGAGGAGCAGCCTTACCATCAGCACGCCCAGCATCATGTCATAGTTGTTGATAAGAAACACAAGCTGCTCCTTCCTGGAAGAGAACTCTGCAGCCACTCGGAGGACAAAATTCTCCACCTCCACCTGCAAAAGCCAAACAAAAGCAGCAGGGTAAAAGCTAGGTGACAGGGACCCTCCCCCTCCTGGCAAGTCTGTCCTGCCCAGTCCCACCTGTAGCTGTCCCAGGAGCTGCAGTGTGCGTTCATTGGGGATGGTCTGGTTGATGCTGACAAGTGCAGAGGAGAACTCAGCATAGCATACTGTGATCTTGGAGCAAGAAGGGAAGGCTCACACCTGCCTGCCTGGCAGACACAACCCCTAGCTGCCTCTGCAACTCCTGTCCCCAGTTAGGACAGGAGTTGTCTGCCTAAGTTGACTCCTTCAGCAGTACCCAACCCACCACTTAGTGTGACCACAAGAACCCCGTGTTACCCTCACCCGCCCTTACATAGTGGGGGTGAGTGTCCAGTCCCCCAAGGTGCTGGGGGTCAGTGCTGCGGACACTCTGGACATTCATCTCCAGGATCAGCTCAAACCGAGGCCACAGCAAGGCAAGCACCTGCCCCCAGTACCTGCAGGCTTAATCAGAATCAGAGGTCAGCTGGCTAGGGGTGCTGGCTGCTCATGGGAGCACAGCACCCTTCAGGAGAGTAGGTGTGCCTGATACCTTTGCTGCCCCTGGGACACACAATGGGAATGAGGGTGAAGGACAACAGGTGAGGAAAAGCCCAGGGTCAGGACAGAATTGTTTGCATAAGATAAAAAGCTGACTGCCTCCAGGCACAAGGACCAGAGCTCAGTGACCTGTCCAGGGCAGGGACGTCCCTCTTTGCTGCAATGCTGCGGAACCAGAGAACAATGTGGATACAGAGAAAAACAGCAATGGCGTCGTAGCAGTCGGCCAGGTAGGACTCCAGGTGTTTCTGTGGCAGACAACTGAATGTTAGCTTGTTGTTTGAGTTGCTGCAGGCAAACAGATGTACATTTCTTTGGGGACAAGGCACTGGCCAGAGAGACCAGCTCCTTCCCTGTCCACAGGCATCTGAGTGGCCTGACTCCCTCACTAGCCACACTTCTGTAAGTTCCCCACAGCAGAACCTGGGGCTGACTTGGGATGAGAGCTCCAGGGCCAGGACTTGGAGAACACTCATTCTCCATGAGTTGCTGTCTGTCTGTGGAAAGGCACGGAAGTCGGAAGCTCACCAGTGTCATGGAGAGTGTGCAGCCCATGATAGAGTGGAACAGGTCATGTGCAGCCAGGCCAGAGATGACGAAAAATTCACAGATGAAAGGATATTCACGGCAAGAAATGTCGAGGAGGGTATAGTGCTGGCTGCGAAAGAGGGCTTCAAAGGGATACTACCGAGACAGAGAGACACGGGTGGGTCACACACTGACCCCGTGGATATGGAGACTCAGCACAGCTCAGTAATGAGAGCTCACAAGACCACACACCCAACCTCCAGACAGGGAGGAGGACCCTGAACAAGTACCGAAGAGGGGGCACAGGTCACAGAGAAGCTCTGCCCACTGGCTGCTGCCCCACATCCACTTCAGCTGTTGCCTCCCGACAGCCACGCCCCCAGTCTCTGCACACCTCTAAGTCCATGGCTCCTAACCTCCCGAATCACAGCAGGCCAGGGAACCCCCAAACTCACACTTAGGGAACTGATCCCTGGCCACGGAGGGGTAGTCTCGACATACCCTCTGCTCTCCACGATGGGCAGTATGGGGCACCAGGATGGGGGCCTCGAGCTCTGCCGGTGAGATGACCACACCACGGGTGCCCAGGGTAAAGATGGTGTTCCTGCTTCGGAGAGACGGCTTCGAGAAGAATCGTGAACAGCATCAGAGTCAGGGAAAACCATGAGACCGACCGCACCAGGCCCAACAACCCAAGGCCTGAGGATCCCAGGAAGCTAAATATGAGCCGACAGCCCTTTCCAGACCAGAGCCTTGCTTCTCCTGACACCCATAATGGCCGTCAAGGTTTTACAAACCCTCTGAAATAAATATGAAAAACTGTCAGAATGGCGTATGCTTCTTGGAGAGGAAGATCTCACTTTCACGAACTCACAGATCGAGAACAACATAATGTGTGAGAAACATAGCCCTGGGCCGGAGAGATGGCTCAGCAGTTAAGAGCACTGACTGTTCTTTCAGAGGTCCTGAGTTCAATTCCCAGCAACCACACAGTGGCTCACAACCATCTGTAATGGAATCTGATGCCCTCTGGTGTGTCTGTAGACCGTGACAGTGTACTTGAAAAGTACAGGAGAGGAGAAGAGGGGGGGCAGAGGAGGGAAGGGGAGGGGAGGGTAGAAGAGGGGAGGGGAGAAAAGAAACAGCCCTGCAGGCTGGACATCCCCATCTTGACCCCTGTGTGTGAGGCTCCCCTCTCTGGGATATCTGTCTTTGTTGTGTCTTTTACACCCGTTAGATCGTCTTTGTCATTAACTTCCTCGTACTAGAGAAAATAAAAGAGAGCTGAACCATCCCTCTCCAGCCCCATGTGGTAGATATAACAATTACTAGTACCCTGTAGAAATAAGACTCTAGATGCTCAAAGATTAACCAAATAGATTCATATATCAGCAAATACTCTAGACACAAGATGCCCACACAATTAGAATTGTTTCCCCATTTATCTAACCTGAGACAGCTGGAAACATGCGGACATCTACAGACATCTTCCTCTCCTCCTGATCCTCCTTCTCTCTCATTCCTTCCTCCTCCCAACTCCTAGCTCCGCCTACCTCTTCTCCATCCAATGACAGAGCTCCACTGCAACTACAATGGGCAGGAAAGTCCTGCCACAGGCTAGCAACCTAATATAAGCCTCAGAGTCCTTGTTTCTCTAAATAAAGAGTCTTGTTGGAAAACATATGGTTATAATGATGAATATCTGATAAGACATGTGACCAGTTGCAGAAATGAGGATTTAAATTTACATGCACATTTCTGTTGTATTTGGTTAAAAATGTATTTGTACAGATACTACATTTTCTTTTTCTGTTTCTTTATCATGTGATGTAGCATAAATTAAGAGAATTATCAATGATTATCATATTTAAAATTGAGGTACTAAAAGAATATCTCACAAGGGACATTGCCACTTTTTCTAAATTTATGATGCATTTGCAATTTTGTACAATTGGACAAACTGAATCTAAGAAGGGCAAGTTAGTGATAGTTATCTCATGTTTCAATATTATATGGCCTGGTTATTGATCTCATTTGAAGTTAATCATGACACAAGGAGACATGATTGTGTGTCAAGCTGTATATCATGAAATTAATAAGTGGTGTTTTTTCTCTAACCCAGCTTGCTTTCAAATAACTGACAAAGAGAGACTATGTTTTATTCAATTAGCTTTAAAACAGCCAGAGATTTTCTCTTCAGCCCCAAATCCTCTGTTTTGCAGTTTTCACGGGTCCTTATGATCTTAGGGCTGACATACAACTTCTGAGTGAGATTACACCTCAGGATCCTCACCCAATTGTTACTCAACACCACACTCTCCAGTCACGGTGATATAGACACACACACACACACACAAAGACAAACACACACACACTGAGACACACACACCACGTGTGATCTCAGCACTTGGCATGCTGAGGTGAGGCAGGAGGATCAAGAGTTCAAGGTCTGGACTGGAGAGATGACTCAGAGGTTGAGAGCATTAGCTCCTCTTCCATAGGTCCTGAGTTGAATTCTCAGACATCACCAGGTGGGTCACAACCTTCTGTAGTGATGTCTGGCGCCCTCTTCTGGTGGACAGGCACATTTGCAGGCAGAACACTACATAATAAATAAGTCTTAAAAAACAACAACAGCAACAACAGCAAAAACAAACAAACAAGGTCAACCTGAGCTACAAGACATAACAACACAAACAGCATAAATTAATGAACACACAGGCTTCATAGACCAGTAGCATCAGGGACCACTGTAGGGAGAGTTGTGTCAATTTCTCCCTTCCCTTGCTGAATCTCTAAGACCAGTGTGTACATCTAGTGCAGGGGACCCCAGAATCCTGCACTAGGCTTTGGAGGTGTTCCTACATCTGTGATGACCCCCAAAACTATTCAAGGATCTCTTTCTTTACAGAAATCTTATTTCCCTCCATTTCATTTTCATTCTTTTAAAAAATATTTTTGTGTATATGGGTGGTTTGCCTCCATGTATGTCTTTGCACCAAGTACATGGACTAGTCCCCCAGGCAGCCAGAAGATGGTGCCCTCTCCCCTCTGAGACTGGAGTCACAAGTGGGTGAGAGCTGAGAACTGAACCCAGGTCCTATGGAACGGCAGTAAGCATTCTCCACCTCTGAACAGTCTCTCCAGCTCCATAACTTTACTCGGAAGTGACACCATCTTTATTTTCATGCCTTGGCTCTCTGTGATTCTTTTCTCTGCAGCCACAGGGCTTCCCTCAGGCCTCAGCCACCTAACTACCCTGCAGAGAAGGTTTGAATAGGAGAAGCCCTGGGTTGCTCAGGGTCACAGAGTCCAAGAGAAGGAGCTTCCCAATCTGTCCCCACAGTGCTCAGTCTACCCAAACGTCTGATGTCCTCCAGCACCAATGCAGCATTGGTAACATAACCCACACATGGAACATTCCAGATGCCCTGTGTAGGCTTAGATTGTCCAAAACTTACTTTAGTAAACTTGCGTGAATGTTTTAACCTCTCTTCTAGCTCACCACCCACCAGAGGTAGTAGAAAGGAAAGGTTAATAGGGCCAAGGAGGATGTGGACCTGTTTAGAAATAGTTCTTTGGTTCGAGTCCAGTCCTCAATGTCAGGATACCAGCAATTGAGTTTACGGAAGTCAGCAATGGTAATTCAATTCAGAAGAAACTTTGAGGCTCTACCAATTGGCCTGAGTCTGCAGAAGTAGGAAGAAGCTGCCGGAACACCACCAGAAGTTCTTTGGTTTATTTGTCTCTACAAAGTCATGACAAACAATCAGCAAGGAAGGCAAGGCTAACCAATGCCACAGCATCATCAGTGAAGACCAGCATCAGCAAAGCCCAACAAAGAAAAGCAAAGAGTGGGAAGGTGATCCAATGCCACACAGTTATGCCTTGGCTCTCTGTGATTCTTTTCCCTGCAGCCACATGGCCTCACTCTGGCCTGAGCCACCTAACTCCCCTGAAGAGGAGGTTTGAATAGGAGAAGTCCTGGGTTCCTCAGAGTCACAGAGTCCAAGAGAAGGACCCTTAGGAACCCAGGTCATCCATGGTCTGTTGGGTTATATTTATTCCCTTTCCAAACATCACATGTTCTCTTAAGAGGACATATCTCAAGCTCTAACAAAACATCACATGCCCCTTTTCCAGGCAGCTTCCAGGAAAATACAACGTGTCTGCTTCAGCAAAAATATCCTCTCATAAGACAGTTTTCAGAAAAATATCACACAACACCACTGAGTCTCCAAAGAAACCAAAAAATTTCACTTCAGGCCTGGCTCTCCTAGATTAAGTCCTTGAATCCGCTGGCTGGGTCACCAACGTGCTTCTTGAATTCCACCCATGTCTGTTTTTAACAGATAGTCTCCGATTCCATCTTTATCCCAAAGCTTTAGTCCTTTGAAATAACAGAAAGCCCTTGTCTCCTGACTGGTTTTCAAACATTGAGAATGTGACTCAGTGACAAGAGGGCCCACCTTGCACACCACAGGCCCAAGGTTTGATTTCTCAACACCTCCAAAAACAGGATGGTGTCACCCAGGCCAGGATGGTGAGGCGACTCAGCTAGAGGTGCTTGCCACCAAGTCTGACCACCCAGAACCCACATGGAAGGAGAGAACTTGTCCCCAAGGTTGTCTTCTGACTCCCTCTCCCCCAACACACACACCACAGCTGGAGAATGCCCTCATTCGCACACCATACACATAAAGCAAGAGTATAAATATATAACACAGAAACTAGCTTAAAATTCCAGTGATTATTCTTGCATGGGTTTCCCTTCAATCCTCCTGGCAAGCTTCTTATCACAATGTGGGTTTTGGACACAGGAAAATTCAACCACTGGAAAGTCCTTAGGCAAACTGGACACAACTTATACATACCTGTCCTTATACATACGTGATTCCATGTCCTTCAACATAAAACCATCGTGGTTCCATTTCTACTTTTATTGCACTGATTTAATAATTATGTGTAGGGATGTGCATGTCATGATGCCCACGTGAAGCTCAGAGGATAACTTACAGGAGTCAGGTCTCTCCATTCACCATGTGGTATCTATGGATTAATCTCAGGGAACCAAGCTTGGTGACAAGAACCTTTACACTCAGAGCCATCTCCATGGTCCCCTTGGAGACCATTGGGTTTGAACGTTTCCTTTCAAAAGTCCCTTTATTCCTGGACTTTGCACATACAAGAACTGTGCACCATGACATTAGAAAAGGTGTTTCCTGATAGATTAGTACCAGCATTGCCTTGGGTGACTCAGGAGAACCAAGCCTTCTTGCCCAGGTCCCACCTGTGGCAGTGTCAGTCGGCTGCCACCTGTGAGAGGCCAAATCTTCTAAATTCAGACTCCATTTTAGAGAACTTGAACTCAGAAAAACTAACAGGGAGATACCTAGCATTAGTTTCCAAGTTACCTCTCAGCAAAACCTGAGCCAGGCTCTAGGCTAGCCAAAAGATGGATGGAGACATATTATATATGCTCATACCTTGGTCAGATACCTCGGGCTGGCTCCCTGGCTAGGTCATAATATATAATCCTATTTATTTGACACTATCTTCTGCCATGTGGTTAGTTACTGCTCCTCTGCTTCATGTGTCTGTCTTCTTCAGTGTCCTGGGTCAGATCGCCTGCTTTCCTGACTGATATTTATAACTACCTTCCTCTACTACCCATTCTGCATTTCCTCCCTTTCAGCAATCACCTCAGCAGGTCTTGTCTCTTTTCTTGGAGGAGTGACCATACCACCATTCCTGAAGGGTCTGTGCCGTTTGTCATCCTGCCTGGATTAGGCTGTTGTAGATTCCCATTGACTTTAATCACAGGACATGGTAGTACTAAGAGAGGCCCTAAAGGATCTCCTGCACTCCAGACATGATCCTTCTTACCCCCATTGTGGAGAGGCAATCTGATTTCCCCTTGGTGATCTACATCAATCACCCCTCCTAACACTGCCATCTCTTGCTTAGCCTGATGGCTATGTCTAGACAGGAGAGTAAGGGTGGGACGTCAGGGCTGAGAGAGGTTCTCTGGGAGAAGAATCAGAGGCAGGACAATTCGCCAGTATGACATGGGGAAAGACAGATGTACCAGGGCTGTGGGAGAGGTTTGGCCTGTCTTCCCTTTCTCGTTCTGGAAGTTTGTACGAGAAGCCCAGGTGGCTTATGATCTCAAACATGGATCTGTGTCTGTGGAGCAGGCCTGTTCTAGGATTATCTTGAGATTCTTGGCAGTGTGGCTGGGATCCCCGGAGGGGCGGCAGCAGGAATTGGGAGGTGGAAGTACAGAGTGCAGCACAGCCCCTGCCTGCACTACTGCATCTGGAACCCGGAACTGGCACTCTGCAGACCTCGATTGCTCTTCAGGGTCAGGCACTGCTAAGGCACCGCGTGGGCCCCCGCCCGGTATGGCCTGAAAGAGGCTGGAACTTGTGTTGTTGGTTTGAGATTTCAGATGCACACAACAACAGTTGTACCGTCAGCCTCAGCACTAAAATTGTTGTGAGGGAGGCCACGTGGGTGGGCGTGGCTCAGAAGGGGTCGATGGTATAACTCTGGGTCAAGGGGAAATGGATGTCTTCAGAAAGACATGCCCCAGAGCGCAGGCCTTCTGGGGAAGAGAAGCTGCCCCTGCTCAAAGGTATGAGCAAAAGGCTCACCTTCAGTGCCCCTGGTTGCACCTCTCTATGCCTCTCTGGGTTAGCAAAGAGGAGGATGGTCTCTGCACAGAAGAGCTTTCCCACAGTCAGGGTCTCTCATCAGGCAGAACTGCCTTTACATATGGTCAAACGCCTCAGTCTCCGTTTCGTTCTTTGTTTTAATTTTCAGAATATTTTATTTTTGACAGCATCTATCTAAATGTACTAAATGTGCATTGCCTGTGGAGGCCAGCAGAGGGCACTAGAGGGCA